ATATATATATATTTTAAGACATTTCTTTTGTACAGTTACAGCTTTGTTAAGCTGTGTCACAACTGGGACAAAGCTGTGACTCAGAAATATATTTTTGTTACTACTTTATGGAAAGAAAAATATATTGAGATATATATCATATATCGCCATTTATCTTAAGATATTGAGATATTAATTTTGGTCCATATCGCCCAGCCCTAGTTGCCAGACTTCAGGCAATACCGAGACTAGTCTGGCATCACTAGGAAATTTAGATACATTTCATTAAATACTAATTTCACACGAAAATAGTTAAATATTTTAGTACTCTTTGCGATCAATTCAGTCTGTGAGCACACATCAGCAAGACTTTAAGCAATGCCCAATATGCTGCAGCTGTTGTAAAGTGGAACAGCACTGAAACAAATGTGATATAGTTTATATATAATCAAGGGCCTTCATAATTTATTTAAGTAATCTCTTTCAAAAAGAAAAAGACAAACTCATGGCCGGTCACAAATTCAAGCTTATGCACTCTGTGACAAAGCAAGTATCAATTTAAAGCCTGAAAGGTAAATTTTCCTACCATCACAACAATCATAAGGTTATCTGATTTTAAAGGCACAACAATATTATTATATTTATAATAAATAAATTTAAAAAACAGACGTTTTTTAAAGTATTGTCTTAGATGTGTTATAACTACTATTAAAAAGCTTTTCTGCACATTTTATTTTTACAATGGCAATTTTATTTGAGTTTATAATACATTCAGCTTTGCATTTAATTCATATTAAATGAATACCACTAATAAATGTTGCTGTGGGTATAAATATTTGTTGTGGCAAAATAATTTAACATACTATAACATTTCAACTGCTATAAAGTTTGCTTGTGGTAATTACGTGGCTATACACATACCTGCGTCAAAGATAAAGATGAAAATATGTGGTCTACACTCATGCAAATTTGATCATTAGCAAGTCTAAAACGTAAACTTTTGGCAAAGCACAGAAAACACTTCTTAGTTTATTGTTATCACCACAAATGAGAATAAAGAGTTATGTAATGTACTCCATATTTTAATTTTATGACTGCTTTGATTATAATTGCTTTTTTAAATTTGGTGAAGATAAAAAAAAATAAGTGCCTGTACCTGGAATTCAGTAGCAATGGGTTATAAATTGTTGTCTTGAATAAACTGGAATCAAATGGTATTGCGAATACAAAGTCGGAAGAACCTGTCAAAGAAACACAAAGAAAAAGAATAATTATCTATGGCCTCTTGGAGAAACTGAGATGCAACTTATGAAAATCATAAAACAAACCGGGTTTTATCTCGTTAACACACACTTAATAACTACTAAACAGCTTTGTAACTTTTATACAATCACCTAGAAAAATGAAAGAACCAGATGTGAAAATTTGTTGAACTATTTGCTGTGTATAAATAAAATATTTGAGGAAACTCCAGTAGATCACCATAAAGACTACAAGGAAACCTTCGCGGATAAATTAGTAAAATATAGTCGAGCCATACTTCCGGTACATGTTATTGTTTACATTTGTGTTGCTTCGCTGCAGGTTAGAGGGGAATCCACCAAACGACCGCATGGGGTTGAATAAAACGCGGCACGTGAGCCTGAGGGTGGCTGATAGGTGGGAGGGGTCCGTAATAAACTCACCAGATTAGGACAAATACGTTCTTCTGAACTCTTAATTCGACGTATAAACGTCCTCATGATGCCACCTAAACGATAACTAAACTGGATGACATCACTAGTTTGATCCTAAGACGAAAGCTGCACGAGGCCTTCAGACAACACATCTGTCCTGCACGCGAACTCAGCACGTGCAAATCAATACAATTAACGCGTTTTCAAGCAAACCTCAACAAATTAAAATACACAAACAAATATTTGGACTCTTCTTCATCTAACGGCCTCGAAACATTCCGCCGCCAAACTACTTAAATCTCCGTTAATTAACTGCACGGGCATGCTAACATAAGCAAACAGACAGATTATTAAAAAAAATGAAGAACTACTTGAACACGCGATGGCAGTTTTTATTACTCGTTTTTTGATAGTCGTAGTTTTGTCTAGCACCGTGAATGTTGCAATCTAAGCGCAGGCTTAAGCTAACCCCGTTAGCAGCTAAAAGGCCACATCCGTTGACAATTATGTTTTCATCAAAATGGCAGCACAGTCAGTACTACAAGCAAACAATATTCAGCATTTGCTCAACTGAAAATGTACACATGGCTGAACATAAGCAGTCAAATGACGTTTTTACTGAAAACACATACAAATAAAACGGAACAGCTAGCGCCAGGAGCGTGCGCGGTTACGCTTCAGGTCTAAAAACTTGCTTTATGACAAACTACGCGGTACTACATATACTAAAACGCTAATATAGCCTGAAAACGTTAAATAAACCGTAACTTAATTTTGTTTTTGATCCTACCCACCTACATACTAAAATACTGACGACGTGCCCTCGATCTGGTCAGTCCTCCATTTTCCATTCCTGTAGGATCTAAGTGACTGCAGCAGATGGCTGACAGTAACAGAAAATGTTGTCACAGCGCCCCCACAGGCCAGGAGGGGAACTGACCCTGCCGCAGTTGAGTGTGCGTCTCTTTTTTTTAATGCAGAGTGGAATGTGACAATTAAATTATTAAATACACATTCCACCCTCCACACTGTTTTGGGGAGTAAATAAATGTGTATATAGACAACTATCAAAATACATGAACCAAAGATGCGTCTAATCTTATTGGAATCAGAAAAAGTCAATTGACAGGTGTTTACACATGACTGTACAAAAATTAAATTGATCTCATTACATCCATCGAGACAGCTGGTTTTAAAATGCATTTATAACTTCCTTTTAAAGTATACATCAGACAAGATATAAAAAAAGGATACAAAAAGGTTAAGTCACAAACATTGCTGCCAGCAGTCCAATACCTCTTCTACATTTCAGTAACATTGATTACATTTTTTAAACATTTAACTATTCAATGTTTGAATATGTTCTCTGATGCCGATACATGCTCTTTTTAAAAAATTTACAAACAGCTTTCTGTGTACGCCTGCAAAAATGTAGATGTGTATTTAATATCTCTGTTTTATTGTCCCTCTCTGGTGATGCCGTTTATCTGTCTTGTCTTGTTACAGTACAATGCAATGGGGGCCCAGAAAGACAAAAAGAAAAATATTAAACTAGTTATAAATTTGAAACAATTTCTAGAACAGAATACTTCAGACATATACTTGTAACTACTTAAAAAAAAAAAAAAAAAAAACTAAAATTACTTTTTCAAATCAGGTTACGACAAAGTTACAGCAACACTGTCGGCGGTCTTCTCCATATCACAATCTTTGTCTGAAGATGCAGAGAGTGGTAGGTCTCTGAGAGAACTTGGACCACTGCTAGTCTGTCCTTGGCCTTTGTTTGGGAGGTCAGATGTTGTCTCAGTCTCGGGTTCTTGCTGTGGGGCTGTAGCTACAAGTAAAAAGAGTTCAAATATACATTACAGCTGTAACACTGTCACAACTATTGCAGATAAACATCTGTTTTAAGAGTGATCCGTTCAACTCTGTGGTGTTGATCCTGGCACGTGCTGTTACCTGACTGAGTGCAGGACTTCATGTGCTCTGGCCAGTGGGTCTGCTGACAGGGGTAGTCACAGTAGCTGGTGTTCCAGCAGCAGTAGAAGATAGCCTCTTTCCTGCAGTTAGCACACCACTGCTTCTTTTTTGTCTCATCCACAGCCTGCTGCTTCTCCTGCTCCATATGCTTCTTCACCTCAGCCAACAACCTCTCCCTCTCCTGCTCCAGACTCTGCCTCATCTCTGCCATCGTCAGCTCTGCATGACACGACCAAACACGAACAACTCGTTACACTTTATTTTTATTTTATTTTTTGGGGGGGAGGTGGGGGGGACTGAGTCTTTTCTAACTGATGTATGATTTTCTCACCAAGATTGTGCTTCATTTCTGACAACTCTTGTTGATGCAGCCACTGTAATTTTTCTATTTCGATCCTCAGTCGTTTTATCTGTAGGAAATACGTAAGAGCATGTTAGGGTTTTCAAAGTGCCACTGTAAAGTAATGTTGGGGAGATCAGGAGACGGCATACACATACTTCTGCAATTGTGTTCCCTGAAGTATTCTTAGAGAGGTCATTGTAGATTTCAGTCATTGTACCTTTGATTGCATCCATTATCTAAAAAAGAACAGTTTGATATGAATAAAATGGGTTGTTAAGAAAAAAAAAAACAAAGCATATTTCATGGTTGGACCAGACTGACCTAAACATAATTAGGTTCTCCTTCTGATGAATTGGAAGTCCCATTAATTTAAACTGTCAAAAGACATCTAGAGTTTTAAAGAAGTGAAATAAGGATGCATCTCGTTGTTTTGGTTAACAAAGTCTGCTGTGAAATTACTATTAGTCTTTTCTTTGAGGTCTATCACAAAGTAAAAGTCGATCAAAAACGGTACTTACTTTATTCGTGTACTTGGCGATGTCCGCAGCTACTTCTGCTGAGGCAGTGGGGATGTATGTGTCCGTTTCCCCCAGTGACGATGTAGCAGCTGTGCTTAAACTTGATGTTACCATCGTGGCAGCAGAACCTGAACTGCTGGAGACCACGGTGACAGCAGATGTAGACGTGCTAAATGGAGGGTCCTTTTGTTGGACAGCTAGGGTCAAGAACACCAACAACATTAGGATAAGCAAGCAGTTGGATGAAGAGGTTAACCAAAATCGTAAAAATTACCCTTGACAGCTTGTCTGGTCTGGTAGCGTGTGCTTTGAGAAGATGGTTGTGCTGAAGATGAGGGGGCTGCTGTGGAGCCGTTTCCAGCTGCTTGAGCCTGGCCCTGCTTGGGAGATGACTCCTGTGAGTGAGGGGCCACCACAAGTTGTTGGGTTTGCTGCTGACGCTGCACCTTCTGCATGTGCCACTTTTGCGAAGAGGTCTCAAACTTTGCGGTGGGGTTCCACACCACAGCTCTCTGCACCACTGGCACCATCTCTCTGGGCAGCAGAGGACGCTGTTTCTTCAGAGCAGGCGTGGTGGAGGCTGAGGAGGAAGATGGTGGGGTTGTGGTGCTGGAGATGGACACATGGCTGATAGTTGCAGGGGAGGAAGCAGTAAGGGTGACCATGGTAACAGGAATGGCCATAAGAGGCTGCGTGGAAACAGCGGAGGGTGTGGACGTGGCAGTGTTGTTTTGTGATGGAAGAACTGGTAGAACTTTACCTTTAAGAAAAACACAATACTTTTGTGTTTTAAAACCTTTTTGCTTTTTACAGTGGAGCAGTGAACGACTTACCTTCAGATTTTCCAGCAGTTGCATCATCACTGATGGTGCTGTCTTTTCTGCTCCTCTTCCTCTCCTTGGCACCCTGTTCCTCTCCCAGATCAATAACTAGCTCTCTTTCTGAATCAGAGTCCTCCACCTCCACAGTTTGCCTCGTCTCTTCTTTCATCTGAGACTTTTCTCTGGCAGCAGGTGATCCCAGTGCTGGTTTTGTCATATCTGGATTGTCCTTTTCCACATCACTGCTTAAATTCTCTCGAGCTTGACCATCAGGAAGTGTTGCACTGAAAACCTCTAATGCAGAGTCCTTGGACTCAGGGAAATCAGCTTTTTCTTCCTCTGCTTGGCTTGTAGAAGGCTGGTCCTTTGTGTTAGTTTTGGTAAGCTCCTTCTGAGGTTCCTTAGTGGGTGCAGTGTCTTGGCCTCCCTTGTTTTTTGGCTCCTCGTCACTGGCAGACTCACTTTCACTGGAGTCTGACTTATCAGACTCCTCCGAGTCACTGTGGTCCACGCCTTTATACTCATCCACAGAAATCTCATCGATACCTGCATAACAGAAAAGGGCTATCATACTACAGACCAGGATTTAGCTATCTAGTTAAAGTAAATTTGCTAAATGAAAAATACATCAAATAGGCAGCTGCACTTGATCAAGATGTATCACCAAGAAAGACTTCAGAAGTGGCTTTAATGACGTCAAACAGGATCTTTACTAACCAAGCTGTGCTTTGCAACTCTCAATTGTCTTGTCTAAGTTTAGCTGAAAACGACTCTTGAGACGTCTTTTTGGGGAGGTGAGGTTTGGTGTGGCACCTTGTTTCTGCTGGACTGTTTCACTCAGCTCCTTTAGGTCCATTTCAGCTTTACTTCGATCTGTAATGATTCAAGAATGAAGTCTTCAGGAACGTCAGTGACAGAAAGTTTGTATTTCAGATGTTGGTGGTGATCTCGATTTACTCATAAAGAATGTACACCAACATCTGTTTTTGTTTGTAAAATGTATATTGGGGAAGTGTAAAGTTTTTACCCAGATTGAGGTTAAGAATACTTCCTGTCTGTGGCGTCTTCTCGTGCTTGGAGATGCCAGGAGTTTGAGACTGGAAACTTCCTGAAGGAACCGGGTCAGAATGAACAAGTGGAGACATTTTGATTGCTTGTTTATAACATGATGCTATCATTGTAAGCTGACATAGACCAAGTACATTTAAAATATCTTTCAATAAAGTTCCTTTTTAAAAAAATTTTTTAAAGAAAATTTTAACTCTTCTAAAGGCTAAATAAACCAGAATAAAATGAATTTAATTCTGTTTAAGACTAAATAACCCAGTGGGGGTCACAGGTGCCCATATCAAACAGTCACTATGCAAGAGGCAGGGGACACCCTGGACAGGTCTCCAGTCCATCACAGGGACACAGAGACAAACCAGACAAACAAACATTCACTCTCTCACTCACACCTAGGGACAATTTAGAGTTACCAATCAGCCTAACATGCATGTTTTTGGTCTGTGGGAGGAAACTGGAGTACCCGGAGAAAACCCACGCATGCATGGAGAGAACATGCAAACTCCACCCAGAAAGCCCCCTGGCCGGGATTTGATCCGACAACCTTCTCGCTGAAAGGCAGCAGCTCTACCAACTGTACTGGCAATTGCATTCTTGATAAATACATTATTTAATTGTAAAAAGTTTATTTACAGATATGACAAAAAAATCTGTTTTGTTTAAAAATATGTTCAAGTGGTCAAGAAGATCTTTTGCAAAATAAAACAGAATTTTATTTTTATTTTTTTTGTTTACACAGAAAGGCCAAATAGATTTGCTAATATCTGTCCCTTCCTCTAAAATTAAACATCAGTTGAGCGTTTCTGTAGGATGACATATCAGGTCATTACCAAAGCATTTATCACTGATGTAGCTAAAAAAAGTATATAAATTTATTATTTTTATCTTAAACTACCTAACTGGTATTTAGTCACCTGTAACTAGCTGAACACATGCTGTGTACTTTCTGAGTTTTTAATAAACCAACTGTGGCCTCTCATGTCGTGGAAAGATGATTGTCAGTTGTTCCGCCTGCTGATATGACATTTACTACAGTAATTTATTCATGACAGGAATTTTGGTACAGCCAGGTCTGATTGCAAAGATATTAGTCGAAAAGGCAAAGAAGCACATGTTCATAAGACATTTTATAAACACTCAGTCTGAGCATAGATTTTCGTGTTTTTAATCATCTTACTTGAAGTGTTATTGACACAATAAAGCAAATTATTCTGTTCCAGTACCTGTGCAGTCCGTGGATTCTTCTCCAGTGTTGTACTGACTTTTTGCAGTTTTTGACTGGGTCTTGTCTCCTGTTTCCTGTTCCCCATCAGAACCTGTATGAACAGATGAGTTGGTGCTCATGGGGGAGCGAGGTCCGTCACTATGAAGGGGCCGTCGTCCTGTTGTGCCCCCTCTTACCCCTGACCCAGACAGTACGGTTCTGTTCAGAGGGATTTTGGGGGATGCGGTCATATCAAAGGTCAATTTGATCTTCTCCTGCTTCTCAGGTTTAATGGCAGTGGAAGAGGGGTTGGACGGGTCCAGAAGTAGCTGGAAGTTATTGTCAGGAGTGTAGGGTGTCCTGAAGGGGGAATAATTAAACACTCCAAACTTCTTTCTCATGTTCTCCACATAAATCTCCATTTCTTGCATGGCACTGTTGAAGATGCTTTTGGTCTTCTTTACGGAGAAGGCAATCTCTTTGGACATGAGGTAGCAGTTGTTTAAAGGAACCCACGCCCTGAAAAACAAACAACATAATGTTACAAGTCTTGCAGAAAAGTCCTAATATGCACCTCCTGTCACATTTCTGCCAAGCCATGTTCTGTTTTCTGCCTAGTCATGTGTTGTTCCCAAGCCTTGCTCTCCACCATGCCCCTCTGCACCTCTGCTCAGTCAAGCTCATTCCATCCACCTATTCCAAGCACTAAAGTCTCATGCTCAAAACACACTCTGCCAGATTATTATACCTCTCATGGCCCCTGATATCCAGCCATTCTTGATTCATGTTCACAGCCTTGTTTGCCTGCCTTGTTTCGACCCCATGCTCCTCTTGGATTCCTTGCTTTGCCTGCTCCTTGTCTGCTATTGGATTTTCTTCTCTGATCATGGTAATGACCTCCTCTTCTGACCAAACGACTATGTCACATGGATTACCCCTCTGGATTTATTATTGGAACACTGACCACCCGTACCGTAACCTGCTTTGTCTCTTGGACCCCGCTCTCGGATTTGCCCCCACAAACCACGTTATCGCAGCGCTCCTCTATAGCTGCTCTGCTCCACTCTGTGGCGGCGACGTCATCCCATCCTACTCCTTCAGGTGGCCCCCATTACACCTGTGAAGGTGGCTCTTCTCCCTCCTGTCTGTGAGTACCTATCACCTCAGTTGGACCCTGACTTTTCTCCAGCTGAAAAAATAAATAAAACTGTTCTTGTTTTCACATTCTTGTTGTCCGGCTTATTCTGAATCCAAAAACCTGGCTCTTGACACCTTCATGTGAACATTTTCTTTATTCAGGTGTTTCTTTAAGGAGTCGCCTCAGCAAACCAGGACATTATTACATGCAGTGTTCTCTCAGCTAGGACGGAACTAGGCAAAAGGGCCTTCTCCTACGCCGCTCCTGTTTCTTCAAATATCTCTCAAAAAGATCTAAAGCTCTCGACCTTGACATCTCTGTGAGTTTAAACATCTGTTCAGTTCCTGGCAAAAACCAATGCAGACATGTTCCTGTTTTAAATTTTCTAAATCACCTTATAATTTAGCTGTTTTTTGCTACTTTTCCTCTTGATTGGCCTTTTGGTTGCTATTTTGTTTTGATTGTTTTGATTTGTTAAAAAAAAAAAAAAAGAGAAACTTAAATTTGTATACCTATGCCTATTTTATGACTGTCTATTGTTGTTATTCACTGTTGTCATCATTCTTTGTTAAGAACTCAGGTCTCTCTTGTAAATGAACCCCCGAGGCTCAATGGAATTAACCTGTCTAAATAAAGGTTGAATGAATGAAAATTTCCCTGCATCTCACCTCTTCTGTCACACTGTCTGCATCACTATGACCATAAACTTTTTCTGTGGTTTTCCTCCTACCATGTTCCTGTTCCACGTTCAACATCCTCTGTCCAGTCTATCAACTGTCCCCCACGTGCACATTTTCAAACCATCTTAGCCATGCCTCTCTTTGTCTCCAAACTGCTCAACCTGAGCTATCTCTTTGATATTCTGTCCATTGGGTTACTACCAACAAAAATCTTAACATCGTTCTTGTCTTTTATGTCAGTGTCTCCAAACCAGATCTCCCTAACATCCTGTCATCCCCTGTCCATTCTCTCTTGCAGCTATCCTTTTGTCACAAATCACCTCTAACACTCACCTCCCTCCACTCCACCCTACCTCTTTTCTTCACCTTTCTTGTGTTCTGCTGTTTGTGTGGATGGCTGACTTCAGGTACTTGAATTCATCCACCAGGAATATTTTTAAACTCCTTGCTACTGCAGCATATACCATATTTTCCAGTGTATAAGTCACAGTTTTTTTTTTGCATTTATCAGTCCTGCAACTTATACGTCAAAGCGACATATATGTTTTTTTTTTCCATATTCATAACGCAATTTTTGCTGACACTTTAAATTTTGAGAACTGCAACAGCAAGTCCTCCTGTGCATGCTCGCTTCACTCAGCTGGTGCAGGCAGAGGAATGCTGGAGAGCTCACGGATCCAGCCGCGATGGATGGATGGCGCCGCGCCGCCCAGGCGAAATGAAGCTGTTTTGGCCATTAAATAAATGCAATGGGTCAGCGGTGACGCATAATAAATGCGACTTATATGTTTTTTTCCTCTTCATGATGATTTTTTGATTGATGCAACTTATATGCCGGAAAATACGGTAGTTTTTATTCTGTCTTGCTTCCACTGACTTCCATTCCTTTTCTCTTTCAATAACGCTTCCAACTTTCCAGGCTCTGTTCCATTTGCTTCCTACTTTCACTACAGCTCAAGCTTCCACAAGGCAAGAACACAAGACCCTAGAAGCGCAGATACTTGACACAAATGTAGTTGATACCTGTCATGCTGACCAAAGAAGCGAGCATCCACTTGTCCATCCTTATCTCGCAGAGCTTTAGCAGGCCAGAAAGGAAATCCTTTTAATTTGGCCCACACAAGAGGGTGTGGGTTACTCTGCAGATATACAAGTTGTATTACGGTGATTTGTTTTAGAAATGATTCAATAATCAACCAAAGTCATGAAACTTCAGGTAACTCAGCTAGCTTACGCAAGGCTCACAGAACCAGTTGTCTCTCTTTTGGCACGCAGACAGATAACATTCAGGACAAACCTCAATCTCATTCATCTGCAAAAGGGTGGACAGATAAATCAGTCAAGCATTAGTTGCAATAAAATCTCAATTAAAATAAGATGCAAACTACTTGCTTACCTCATGTTCACAGATTTTTACTATTACTTTAGCTGTAGCTGTGAGTTTGTGATTAGCTGAAACAAAAAAAAACAGATTTCTAACTAACAGTTTATAAATATTTTGACAGCTTATTTTATCATTATCTAAAATTATAAATGATTGTGTGTCATATGCAGTCACATCATGATGTATAATCAATCATGCAATTTTTTTTAATTACTGGTTTAAGCTATGTTATGTTTTCAGCACAACATGCATCTTACCTCCATTGTATATGATACAGTTGTGTAAAATCCATTTAGTGTCTGCCAAAAAAGCCTCTGTGCATCCATATATTTTCTTTTTGATATTCTGCAGTGGGAGAAAACGAATGCAAAGGTCCTTCAAGGGTTAACCTTTCCATTTTTGTCTCAAATGACTATGTGACAGCCTTGACTTTACCTTTTCAAGTGTGCAAAGATCCATAGGATGAAAAATGTACTCTGCATAATCAGGATGCTGATCAAGAGACACGGGTTTCTGGAAGGGTTCAGTCTATTAAAGTGAGTCAACAGAACAAAAAAAATGAAGGTCAACACACAGTCAAGCTGAGCTCACAACTCACAGATTTCCCATCAACTGCACACCAACACGCCCCCACCCCACTAGTAAAAACTTTGAGTGCAGCTTCACATAAAAGGAAGGTAAAGAAAATCAGTGAGGGAAGAAATCATGACGGGGTCTTGTTAGTGATGTAATTGATTACCCAATTAAAAGTCTTTCTCTGCGAGGAAGCTGCATGGGGGGAGCGAGATGACAAGCGGGGATGGTCCTGAAAGAGAGCGAGAGGAGCAGCTGTATGCTCACCACCAGCTAGCATGTTTACTGGTTTCCAGCCTTGACAGGCCCATTAGAATACAATCAATGTGGTTGTTAGTTCTGTTATTGCAACTACCTTGGCATGCAAATCAGTAATATATGACACTGGACTAAAAGGTGAACTTTAAGGCGCACATCTGACACAAACAGAAGAAGTATTAGATAATTTGGTTGCTCTAGCGATTTAAAAATCTGTACAGTTCAATAAAGTATGGAAGTTTATAACAAAGTATTTATGCAGTTGTTTCATTAGAAATTAAAGCAATACACTCCACTTTAAACACCCTGTCTGCTTCAACAAGTTATTCAGCTGTTACACAATACTTACACCTGGTTGTTTCATTTTCTGAAGGGCAAACTTTAGCAGGTAAGAGAGCTGATCCATGGTTAGCATCATCATGGCCTTGCTCTGTGTCTCTATACACTCAGCGACTGTTATCTTCTGAAAGACATAAAAGTAAAATTAACACTTTATTTATATCACGTTATGGTATTTTTGTCTATAGCCTCCATACTCGTACAATTAATTTAACAGAATTTATTTTGACTATATATTTTTGCAGCACTGATAAACTTTTCACATTTCAGGGTTAGTACCTCACATTCTGGACAGAACCAGTCGCCCTCGGGCTCGGCTGGTAGTTTGAGACACTTGGCGTGGTACACCCTGGGGCAGAGCTCACAGCAGAGCACCTGGCCCTCACGGTGGCACAGCCAGCAATAAAAGTCATTCCTGCCATCCTGCGGTACAACATCAACAGGGTCTGTTGTGAGTGAAGGCTGCTTCGCATAGTAAAAGGGACCATGTCTTAGTTCAGACTGGAATGCAGGCAAAAGAAACACAAAGTTGGAGAAGGTCAAAATCAGGGGACAAATCAAAGAAGCCAAGCAAAAATTCTCATTATGAACAAAAAGTATTTTAGATCTGCAACATCAAATACAGACTGCTGTGAGCTCAAAGCATGAGCTCAGCTCTCTGAATTCAGGTCATCTATATTATAACATTCACTCATTTCTTGTGGACAGCTTTGAATTCACATGAAAAAACTATGAGCTTTTAAGTGACTTCACATTTTCTATAAAGGTCAACCTAATGCACCAGGAAGGTGGTGTTAACAATAATTTACAATAGTGCATTGGAAACAAGTAAAAAGGAACATTATTTTTGTCAGCAAGGATTGGAAAATATGGCACTGAGTATCCTGATGCATGCTCAATAATCCAGGTAGAAAAATCCAAAAAAGTTCAATCTGGTCCTCTGGACATTCAAAAAAACCAAAAAACAATACAAAGCAAAAAAAATAAAGAAACGTTTCGTCTCTCATCCAAGAGACTTCCTCAGTCTGAGGTGCTGTTTTCAGCTCAGTC